CACTTCTGGTTTTGATTATACTTCTCCTTTGGACAGTGTAGTAGGCTTTTGACTTGAATTCTCTTTTTTGCTGCCTTTGCATGTACATATACCTCTGCACATACAACGCCAAGAAACATGTTTTTGAACCCTTTGGTTTTTCTTCTGATTCTACTCCACCCTAAGATAACATAATGGAATTATATTGTTACCATTACTTGTTTTACCTAGGGCAAGCCCACTTGACCTCTGGAAAAAGTACACTAAAAGCCTAATCTTATTCAATTCCATGGAGAAAGAAATATCTAGCCTGCAAAGCAGAGAAAAGCCCTGAAGTACAGGGCAAGAATCTATTGTCTAAATCTACTGGCTTTTATTTCATGGCACAACAGTGAAGCACCAAGGTCACCAAAATGACAGAGGCAGCCAAAGAATATTGCATCTTTGCTGCGCTGCTTGGTGACTGAGAGGTGGAGGTGGAGAAGTTCCCTTCCCCATTCCAGGGACGCTGGCTATTGAGAGCTGCTCAGGTCCTTATAGCAGAAATAACTGCGATGTTGACCTGATGCAGTGGACCTGTTTGGTGGAGTTTTTATGAGGGATTTTTGTGTGGCATGGTTTTTTTCTTCCCCATTCTGCTTTGCTTAAGTAGAGTTCCAGATTTCATTCACTTCCAGATTCCACTGAGCAGGTTCAGCTGGTAACTGTATGCAAAAATAGACTCCTAAACTGTTGAAGGTATATGGTAGGGAATGGAGCTTGGGCCCATAAAAGATAAACCACATACAAGAAACTGTTTTCTTAAAATCCTTTTTTCTTTTCCCTTAGGTTTATATCAAGAAGCACTTCAAGCTGTCATATAAACGCAGATCAGATCACAAGGGTAAATATCTGCCTGTTCTACTTAAACCTAAAAAGAACTTGTTATCCTGCAATTACATCTTCATACAAGGAAGACTCTTAGTGATACTTGAATACCTAAAATGTAGTTTGCAACTACATTTCACTTTACTTCATAATTCAAATGTTTTGCCTCTAATTAGTGATGTCTTTTACTTGCAGAATGTCATTGTTTGAATGGAGGAACCTGCATTACCTATTACCTTTTTAGCGGAATTCATCGTTGCATATGCCCAGAAGGATACACTGGGATTCACTGTGAACTAGGTAGAGCATCTATCTTCCTTAATACTAACTAAATTGATTGAAAAGACCTAAAAAGATAGGCAAATCATGAATATGAAATGCCAAGTGAAAGTATTACCCATAAACGCAACTGGACATCCTTTAGCAGATGCTAACAGACTGAGAAGAAATAACTAAATATTGGCCCAAAATCAGGATCTCTAACTTTTTTTTTGTCCCTTCCTCCTCACTAATGTTGCCTACCTCACAAACATTTTCATTTGGGGTGAAAAAAGTGAATTTGTTTGGGAGTGTTCAGAAGCAGAAGAAGATCTGGTTATATTGTGAAGTACACTGAAACTGTTAGAGAAGTAATATGCAGGCTTTAAAGCATAAGATACTTGATGCTCAAAATTCATGTAGTACAATTTAATAAAAATATATAATCAGTCTAGATTTTCATCATATATTTTCAAGTGTAATGCATGAACTTTTTTCTTATTAGAAGGATCCATACAGATTATTTCAGTCTCAAAACAATTATAAACAAGAACATGCTGCTAACAAAACATTAATTTTCTTAGACACTGACAGTGTATGCTATACTGAGAATGGGGAGGACTACAGAGGAATGGCAACAGAAGATGAATGTCTGCCATGGGACCTTCCATCAGTAATCAGGAGGGGTCATTACCATGCTCACTTGACGAATGCTTTGCAGCTTGGACTTGGCAAACACAGCTACTGCAGGTAAGAAAAGCATTGCTCTTCCTGGGATGACTTCTATTGTCACAGCCCCAGAAGTGCCTCAAGTGATGGTACATGGTTTGGTTTGTTTTTTGTTTTTTGTTTTTTTCAAAAAAACCCAAAAAACCCCCAGAATATTACAGAGATGAATTTTTGAATAAAAGTATTTGAAACATGACTCTCTGAAGTGCCTAGAGTTCTTGCTTACCACCCAAGCTAATCATACTGCAAAATTCCCAGTATGCAAAAGTAATAGTTAATTATTTTCTCTGGTATATCTTGCAACAGAACAGTTTTGGCATTTTCAGGACAGTTAGAGTTCTAAGATAGTATCATTTTTTTTTAAGCTGCCTTTATGAAAAGAACACTTCCTTTATCTTCCAGAAACCCAAATGGAAGGAAGAAGCCCTGGTGCTACACCAAAAAGGGATTCAGCATTCAAGAAACACCCTGCAACATAGAGAAGTGTGGTAAGTAACATTAGTTTCAAGAAAACGGATTTTTTTTTTTAATAGCACAAAGAATATCTGAACAAAATTTCTCCTTTCATAGGGCATGCATGTGGTCAAAGGAGCATCAGCAAGTACTTCAAGATTGTTGGTGGAAGCCAGGCAGAGGTTGAGTCTCAGCCTTGGATAGCTGGCATCTTCCAAAACATAAGGGGCGTTGACCATTTTCTGTGTGGTGGCAGCCTCATTGACCCTTGCTGGGTACTTACAGCAGCACACTGTTTTCATACTCCGTAAGTTTACAGTTCCATGTCCTCCTTATTTGCAGCTTTTTTCAACTAATTTTGTCGCATGATGCTCACTGAACAGCCCTTCAAAATGTACCATAGTAAGAATCTTCTTTTGCGCAGAACAAGAAGAGCAGCTATAAATACTAAGCCTCTTTTTGTCCAAGTCAATCAGAATGACCTAGCAAGATGTAAACATTCTGGTGGATAATGCAATTTAAACAATTTTATCCTAAACTGGAGCCAGGGTTTCATTCTACCTTAGCTGTTCCCAAAATTTAAGTTGTCCTGAAAGGTGATGAGCTGTTGAGCCGTACATCTATGGGTGTTTGTTTTTCCTGTGGAAAGCTGATCCTCCTGGCATCCTGCAGAAGATTCTCATCACCGATGGCTGGCATTAGTAGCAGCTAGCTAGGTGTGCATTTCAAAATGCCTGAATGTTTATCTTAATCCCTTCAAATGGAAAATCAGGATGCTTTCCTTTAGAATACTGGAGCAACTTTCAAAGCTGACTAAATTTTGCTTTTTCTTGTCAGCGTTAAAGTAAACAAAAAACAGAACTAGGACTGGATCCAAACTGTTGATCTCACTCTCAGAAACTGGTAGTCTTCATTAATCTTATTCTCACTCAGGTCAAAAAAACCACAAAACAGGTCCATCTACAAAGTCTTCCTTGGAAAGTCCATACTGAATATTACTGATGATAAGGAACAAGTATTCATGGTTGATGACATCATCTCTCACCCTGACTTTACAGATGACACAGGTGGCAATGAGAATGATATTGGTAAGTGTCATCTCAATATGAGCCTTTAAAACACTGAGGATAGCTGAAGGCTGTAATTGTGGCTTACATCTTCTAAAAGAAGTAGAACCAGAGATGAGATAAAGGGGAAGAGGAGCTACATGCTTCTGAGAATGAGTCCTGTGCAGAGCAAGACTTTTCCCACTTGTCTAAATTTGGTTTACGGCCCATGTCAGATGCATTACCAGGCACACAGTCAACTATAGGCCTGTCCTATCTCTGGACCTGTACAAGGCATGGCTTTTCCATAAGCGCTGGTGGCAGCATCCCATTTCTACCATCTTATTCTATGTCTACAGAGATCACATACCATAGGTTTCATCATATAGTAGGGGAATGCCATATCAGATACCACATTAGCCAAAGGTTGTCCTGAATTAATCCAGAGTTTCCTAAGTCTCTCTGGCTTTCACAAGCCTATCCCTAAACCAACAAAGTCAGAGATGGGTTTTTACAAATTGCACAAAACAGACTTGCTACTCTTGCACTTGACACTTAGAACTCTGACATCCCTTCCAAATTCCTGTCACTAAGGAAAAAGAATCAAAGAACAGCTTCATAAGCCCTGCTGGTGAGAAGTAAAGTATAAACTGCCTCCCTTGTCAGCAGGGCGGTGGGTGCCACCCTCTACAGCCAGCCAGTCAGGAAGTTTAAAACATCTAAAGATATACTTTCAGAGGCATCGTCCCTGAGCTATCCTTATCCTTCCAGGAACGAAGTTCAAATTGGAATGTTTGCCACTGGGAAATTAATTTTATTGTTACTAAATAATGACCCAGTGTCATTCCAAAAGTAATGAGAGGAACCATATGTAACCAGAACTAAATGTAATTGCAGTTATTCCCATTAACTGTGCCCAATAGTCCAGCTCTCGGAGAACTTGAGGGGAAAAACTTGCTTTAGAAATCTTATTGTATCTTCTCTGCCTTTTTTCTTAGCTTTGATAAGGATAAGAACAACTTCTGGACAGTGTGCGGTAGAGTCCAAATATGTCAGAACAGTCTGCTTGCCAGAGAAGAACCTCTACTTACGTGACAATACACGGTGTGAAATAGCTGGCTATGGAAAACAAGATTTTTGTAAGTGAATGACTTCTCTTTCCGAAGTTGTACTTCCATAATGTGGGAACTGGATGTTTTTTATACCATGATCTGCAAAGGATTAAAAAAAGAGATTCCTGTCTGTTATTCTTTGTACTCCATGTACATCTCTCAAAGATGATCTTTGCTATCATCTTCCCTAGTTGTCCATGGCATTTCCTATCTGATGCTTCTCACACTTGTCAACCATACAAAGTATGCCAAGACATAAAACACAGCAATATTTTCATACCTGATGTGGTGAGGACTAGAAGAAATTAAAGCTGTATTGGAGGATTAGCAAAGGATATGTTGGAGGATTAACAAAGGATTGCATTTGTGCAGACCTTCCTCCAAAAACTATCAAACTCTTTCCTTCTAAAAACCAAGCTTTATAGTTTGCATTTGGAATACTTGTTTTTCTCTTCAGAACTTATTCATTAACAGTAGAAGTAAACCATTACTGCATAAGCTGGTAAGAGAAGCCTCAAATCAGAACTGGAATAGTTATGCTAATTTCTTTTAAGCACCAAAAGTCTTTGCTTATGGGTTGGGGTTTTGTCTTGGATGGCGAAAATAGCTGAATACTCTTTTTGCAGATGACATTTACTATGCTCAAAGACTGATGTCAGCTACTGTAAATTTAATATCACAGACAAAATGCAAATATGAATACTATGATAATACCAGAATTACTGACAACATGGTCTGTGCTGGAGATCCTGCATGGATGGCTGATGCATGCAAGGTAAAACGGGTTTGTTTTATCTTCTGAACAGTTTTGAATGCATGTGTGCTATAAGGATCAGCTGGTGGCATCTTGTAATACTGCTAGCCTCCTTATGTAGCAGGAACTTAGTGCATCCAGTGGAGCTGACCTGTAGCATGGCCAAACATATAGAGGAAGGTTGGGAGCTAGAGTTAGGTGTTACACCCTCGAGACCTCCTTTGGAGGAGCAAAAAGTGGAGTATCTTAGACATTGTTATTCCTCAAGGCCTTATTTACAATCTGTTGAAGGAATGGCTGGTAGATACGCATCAGGGGAATACAGTAGCTGTTCCAGTCTCAGCTTGCACTTTCTTAACTGTAGCTCTGCAAAGGGACGAAAGGTGAATTACGGGGGGTATACTGAGCCCTTCCACAGGTTCTTCTAAACTGGATTTGCTTCCCTGCACCCTCACTGGGGCAGAGTGGTCAGATGAGCCACTAAAGAACAAGTGTGTTTCTCGAGTGTAGAAGTACCTTATGGGCAGGGAGACAAGTGATTCTGTGATGAAGAATTGGGCATGTTGGCTTTGACCTTTATATTACTCGTCCAATATCTGTGATTATAAACTTAGGATGGAGTGTTGTGTGCAAGACAACTATTCTCTGTGTGCCCTGCTAGAGGGCAACTAGAGCATTCCTTACCTTACAGGCTGTGTTCAAGTCACAGCAGATGCCAAGCCTTCTGTTCCATCTATGCAGTGTTCTCAAAAATGAAACCATTAGCTCATAAGTATTTACTAGCTTTTTTCACTCTAGAAAAACAATCACAGGCTCCCTGTTATAAAGGATTCATCTGCAGAAAATGACCTAATATATCATCTTTTCATTGTCAGGGAGATTCCGGTGGCCCCATGGTCTGTGAGCACAATGGCAGGATGATGCTTTATGGGATTGTCAGCTGGGGAGATGGCTGTGCGAAGGAAAACAAGCCTGGCGTTTACACCAGAGTTACTCGATACCTTAACTGGATTGATTCCAGTATGAATGTGGTGATGTCCAAGAGTCGTTTTGTCCCTGAACCGAAGTGACCTTCCTTCCTACATCTGAACTCAAATGAAGAAGGTTAAGCCTATACTGATGCCAGGGCACTAAAGTCCTGAATGTCATGCGAGGCTTTCTTAAATGCTTGTGTTGTCTGCTGCTCACATCGGTGTTCCTGAGGCAGAGAGACAGTTGATATATTATCTTACTACTCTGAATTACCTGAAAACCACTCCATGGGAAGCTAAAATATTTAACATTTAAATGAGTATTCCCATGCATGATACTATGCATAATAAGTTATCTGTCCACTTCGTTTATGAACCAGCATTTGGTCCAGAAGTATTGGTAAAGTTTTAACTTGTTTAATTCAAATATTCATTTTACATGTGGCCTGAGTCTAAAATCTTACCTCATCACACTGAACAATGCTGACACTCAAGTCTTAGAAACCTAATCTGTTAAGACCAGTACTGAGAGGGTGATCAGGCTTTGCATCAGAAATTGAAAGAAACTGCATCAGCATTAATTATCACTAATGCATGAAGAAGGACCAAAGTCTACTTACACTGAGGCAATGCTTGGTGTACAGGGTTCATTGCGCGGTAGACCCGACGTATAGTAAAATCTTGGGGATTGCACCTGTAGCTGTGTCAACATTACACACTCTTAATGTATTACACGTAAGAACTGTACTGCAAGAAGGTGAATTAGAAACTTGACTGGACTTCCAGGTCACATCGGAAGGTTTCTGGGTCCCCTTAAAAGCCTGATTATGCAACCTTTCTACATGTACCTATGGACCCGGAGGGGGATTTAAAGAATCAACACCTATTGAATGCTGCAGATGTCAAAAGCCAGAACTTTATTTCCATTTATTTAATTGATGTTATTTGTAAACTACATATTTTTTCCTGAGACTTACACTTTTTATTTTGAAACTTTGGTTGTTTCATAGGTTTGAATTATTTGCATGAGGGCTGGAACCTCAAGCTTTATTTAATTATTTTTATGGTGTTTAACTTATTGTTTGTATGATGGATATTAAAATATCATTAAAAAACCCTGTTATTCTTATGTGTCTGTTATTCCGCTCTTGAAAGGGGGCAGGTATGATTCAACAGGGAACTGCCATTATTAAGTTCTAATCTGAACTGTGCAGTCCCTTGGTAAAACACAAATGTTTGAACTTCCTGTTTACTTACGCATTTCTTAGGCAAAGTGAATGTTTTCTGCTCTGGGCTGGAGTACTATAAAACTGTGTGTGCACTAGCAAGACAGAGCATAAGATGAACAACAGTGCTGGGGATCTGATAGTGCTGCAGGTGCTTCAGGACCCCCATCTAGTCCTGTGGCCTAGAAATTCTCAAATAGTTGCAGAACATTAGTTGAACTTTTACAACATCCTGTTAGGTTTGCCCTAAGGGAATACAGTTCTCATGTTCCAGAACTGTTCTGCAATAAGATCCACATCACCTGGGGGGGAGGATCAAAAGATTGGTTTCAAAGGTTCACTCCTTCACTGCACTAAGATGTTACTGCAAGTGCAACTCCAAGCCTACTTCTGACTGCAGTGACTTAAACTGTCCCCCACATGAAACCAGGACAGCAATGCAACGATGTCATAGAAAGGTTCTAAAAGGAAAGTGATAGTTTCAGCTTTCCTCAATACTTCCTTGTGGACACTCATTTTCTGAGAGAAGCATTTGAAGTTGACTTCAAGTACTGCTAAGCAAAATCATAGATAGTAGAAATTACATTTGAACAGCAAGATTTATTTATTTCAGTTTATTTTCTTTTTCAAGAAAGGAGTTTAGTTAGAACAGAATTGATAGTAGAGAGTGCTAACAAAGAATACTTAAAGCCAACAGCATTTTTAATTCTGGACAGAAGGCCCCAATTAAACACAAAGCAAGTTCTTGCTGAAGATACATTGTGTTGTTCGGGCAGACAACAAAGGCAGAAAATGTTATCAAGGTCTTTTGGGTGGTTAAGGGAATACAGTGAGATCCTAGCATCCCTTCAACATCCTAAAGAGTATGTGCTGCCTGCTTTGATTTTGTTTGTTTTAAGGAAGCTATAAGGTGCAGACAGACTAGAGATACTGCTATAAACAGTGTTTAAAGCAAATTTACAGAGAAGAGTTTGTATCACCACATCAAGATGCGTTATATTTGTGTGATGTTTGTAGATGTGAAAGTAAAATGCTTGCATATATCATAACAATATCCTGCCAAGCATTTAACACTGTGAAAAATGACTTCCTACACAGAAATTGCCATCATGGAACAAATTAGCAGCCTAATTAGCAGGCTAATTTCTGAAGTTAGCAGTCCCATCCCTCCTAACTGAGTAGCACAGTGAGCCAGCAAGACTCTAGTAGCTATTGGTCAAAAGGTCTCAGACTAGCAATTTGGCTTGCCATTTTTTGTCCTATTTTTTAAAAAGTTAGTACCTAAATGTTCTGTTAGTTATTAATCTCCTCTCACAAATGCAGAATTTAGGGTCAAATTACAGGACTGCTAGGGAAATTTAGCTGATTTTTGTAGATAAGACCACATAAACTTTTACTTTCTCATTATAGTTCACTTAAGAATGGAAAAAAAAATTTCAAAGAATATGTGCAATCATTCCTTATCAAGCTCTCATCAACTTTTTGGTCTCAGTCACTAGCTGCTTAATAGTGAATGACTACAGATTGCAGAAACATTTTGTAAAACTCTTGAACAAGAAATTTGTTGTGACCTACAAGCAGTGCTCTGACTACAAATGAATTGTCTCTTTTTAAAAAGTATTCATAATAACATTTTGGTCAAATTTTTTTTTTTTGTCATGTTATACACAGCAAAGAATGTAAAAAACCTCCAAAGAGAGATAAACCTTTTTTCTTTTTTTCTTTTTTCTTTCTTTTTTTTTTTTTTTAATCAAATAGGGATGAGGTAGACAAACTCAGATCATTGGTGAACTGACTGATGTCTTCATAGCAAGGCAACTGTGAATTCAGAGTTGCTCAGGTACAAATTCAGCTACAGCAATCCTTTCAAAAATCAAGGGGAAATGCATAAACTAAATTCTCTCTTTCCAAAAACCACATCGGTATTTGTGAAAAGCATGCTACATCTTGTAGCTTATTGTAGACTGGGTATGTGCACCTTGCACATTGGTGACGGAATGATAGGAATAAGAATCTTAGTGTAAGTTTTGTCCTTTAGACTCAAGACTGAAGCATGTAACATCTGGACTATTTCCAGCTCTGTTTTTATAAAGTCACATGTCTTTATACTTCAATTTCCCTGCTACAAAATGGGTGGGACAGTACTTCCTTTCTCCTGGATACGGTTTGTCAGGAGGAGGGAGAGTTGACAGCCATGTGAATGCACTGTGAGTAACAGACTGACATCCGGGTCTCACACAGGGACAGCAAGCATTACTTAAACACTAAATGATTACTGACAATACTGGGTTGTGAACTGTTTGGCAATACAATTTGTGGTCGGGATCTGCAAACAGAAATTTGTTAGTAGAGGTTACCACTGTGTGTGGCAGAGTTGTTTGGCAAAAGCATGCCATTTGTGGACTTCTGATTAAAGTTTGTGCAGGGAGTTAAAATTGCATTGTTTCTAGAGAATGAGTTGGAGATGTCCTATGAGAGACTGTAAGACTGACGATTGTGCAAGAAGAGAAGGAAGGCACCTCTTCACTGCTTTTCTAGATAGTAACTAACAGGACAGCCTGACCAGTGTCGGCAGAGAATACTTTGGGCACAAAGTAAGCAATGGTAATACAGTTTTAGACAAAAATATACTATTTTTTTAATCATGTCTTTTGGGATGCTATATGTTTCTCACTTCAGTATTTATTTCATTTAAACATTTTTCAAAGTACTAAGGTCAACAGATTTCTCAAAGGTAGAGAATATAAATATCTTCAGGGCAATCGCATATTATTATCATTGTAGTGAATGGCACATTTGTCATTTACTTTTATGGGCTTTTTCTAGGAATAAAGTCAATACAATTTAAATTTAAACTGATTCCATCATTATGAATATAAGTAAGAATGAGAAAGGAGCTATAACTACATTTAGGTCTCTTTCATTTTGATATTTAGGAAGCTCTGGAGAAAGTATGAATAGAGAGTCTTGAGAGCAGAGGAAATTTAGATGCTGTTTTGGGTGTGCAATCTTATTTGTTCTTTAGTCTATGTTAGATAAACTGCCCCAACAAAATGGAAATCTTTAAACAAACATACAGTGTACATAGATCTCTGTTTTGGCTGTTATAATACTTCATATACTCTCTTCTTGCAATGTTCTCTGCATGACTTTGGCACCACAACTACAGTATCATCTGGCTGGCTAGTTATCAGAGCCTGAGAAAAAGAAGGGCAAAAGATGAGAGCACTGTTTTGCAAAACTTTATCCTCCCACAACAGAATTCACAGAAAACATTTTCTTTCCCTCCTTACAGAGAGTGAGCAGAGAACAATCCAGGTTGCAGTCCTGATGAGGATGAAGATAAACTGGCTAGAGAACTGTGCACAGAGCTTGACAAACACCACTGCAGAATGACAAGAGAAATACTACAGGGAAGACATTTTTGGAAGGTATTAGGTATCTGGTGGGTACTAACATACATGCAGGTCAAATATTGATAGCATAAATCTGCTCTTACTTAAGCATATCAGTCCTTGATTTCAGACATGTGGCAGGCAACAGAAAGGAGCGGGGTGGGAGTCCAACAAGCATTTAGAAACAGCTGAGAGGTGGGCATCAGCCAAAGAGAAAAGATCATATGCTCAGAAGCCTGAAGAGCATGACTAATATGAACTCAAGTCCCTACTTATCTTCAGTGCTTCCACTGACGAAACATAGAAAGCAATAAGGATAAAGCAGTATCTGATGTGTCCAGAGCATAGGAAGTTTGTTTAACCTGTCAGCTCTTAAAAGGAAGTGATGCATCCTGAATTAACAGACCACTTTACCTTATATAGCTGAAGCTTTCTTCATGGAAGTGAAACTAAAATGTGACTCAAGGCACATAAAAAT